AGCATACCAGGTAATTTAAAAGAAAATTTTTTTGTAGAAACTGTGTCTCATTATGTTGCTCATACAGATCTTGAACTCCTAGCCTCAAGTGATTCTCCTGTCTCAGTTTTGCAAGTGCTGGGATTATAGGCCTGAGCCATTGTCACCAGTCCAAATTTTTATTGTTATCAAATTATTGTATGTAATTTGAAGAGCTACAAAAGTATAAAGCTTATAATTTCAAAGAATAATTCCTTGCTTCACATTTTCCCACCCCAAAGTAGGACACCACTTTATTTCAGTGTTTTTAGTACTTCCTGTATGTTTTAAATAGTATGCTTATACTGCAATTTTTTTCTTCCTGATCTGAAATATCTACTGATTTCCTGGATGCAGACTTGTTCAAATCCCAGGTCTGCCTCTTACTAGCATTGTGATCTTAGACAAGTCAGTTAACCCTTCTAGTCCTCATCTATAAAGTGGGGATATTGGCTGGGCTCGGTGGCTCAGCCTGTAATCCCAGCACTTTGAGAGGCTGAGGCCAGTGGACTGCCTGAGCCTGCTGGTTCAAGACCCACCCAAGCAACTTGGTGAGACCTCATCTCTACAATAAATAAAAAATTAGCTGGGCGTGGTAGCGCACACCTGTACTTGGAAGCCTGAGGCAGAGGGATCGCCGGAGCCCAGCAGGTTGAGGCTGCAGTGGCCAGGAGTGGTCACTGCACTCCAGTCTGGTTGACAGAGTGATACTCCAACTCAAAAAAAAATAAAAATAAAAATACAGTGGGGACATTACTATCTACCTCAGAGATTGAGAGAGAATAAAATTAGATAGCATATGAATGTGTTTAGAACTGTTTGGTCCAGAGTAAGTGCTATATGTTAGCTGTTATTATTCATAATAATTTTCCACTATGGAAGATAAAGTTTAAATACTTTAGTACCCATATTTATTCTTATCTTTATCTTTCCTGGATAAATCAATATTCAGTGTTTGTTTATATTTTTATGACTCTAAATACTGCTTTTGTATACGTCCTGTTTAATACTATGTCTGCTTTTCCACTCTTCACAACTTACTTATTTATATTTTGAGTTGAAGTCTCACTCTGTCGCCCAGACTGGAGTGCAGTGGCCACTCCCGGCCACCGCAGCCAGGACTTGCTGGGCTCCAGCGATCCTTCCGCCTCAGCCTTCCAAGTAGCTGGAACTACAGGTGCGCGCTACCACACCCGGCTGATTCACAACTTATTTTTTTTAAAGCCAATAATTGTTTTCTTCTTTTTTCCCTTCCATTTGCTTAGTTTTTTTTTTTTGAGTTGAAGTCTTACTCTGTTGTCCAGGCTGGAGTGCATTGGCTTATGGCTACCACAGCCTCTACCTGCTGGATCAGGCAATCCGTCTACCACAGTCTTCCAAGTAGCTGGGCCTGCAGGTACGCACTGCCACACCAGGCTAATTTTTTGGTTTATTATAGAGACAGATCTCACCAAGTTGCCCAGACTGGGCTCGAACTCCTGGGCTCAGACAATCCTCTTATCTTCACCTTCCAAAGTACAGGTATTACAGGTATGAGCCACCTTGCCCAGCCAAAAGTTAACTTTTTGAGACACTGAATGTTTGAAAAAGTCTTTGTTGCACTATTTATTTAACCCTTTACTTGATGAATGGTTTGGTTGAATATAGAATTCTAGACTGGAGATCTTCTCTTAATTTTTCTTAATGTTAATATTCCTTTTTTTTTGTGGTTTTCTGGTTTCTAGTGTTGCTGTTGAGAAATAGTTGTCATTCTAATTCCTGATCCCTTGTGTGTGTTTTCCTCCAAAGTCCTCTGCCCACTCCATTCCCTTACCCATTGCTTGGAACTTTCAGAATACTTTATGCTGTGAAGTTTATAGTTATGGTATGAACTTTTTCACTAAAAGCTGTCACTTGGTAGGGTCCTTCCAACCTGAAGACATATTTAGTATTTTCAAAAGAAAAGGAATCCAAATTCAAAAGAAAAGAAAAGAAAAACCGTGGCCTTTTTTACCAGTCATGTTTTGGAGACTTTGTCCCTCCAGCCTAAGTTTTTCTTATCTTTTCTTTTTTTTTTTTCCTCTTTTTTTTTGAGTTGGAATCTCACTCAGTGACCCAGGCTGGAGTGCAGTGGCACACTCAGGGCCACCCCAGTGTCGAACTACTCTGGTGATCTTTCTGCCTCAGCCTTCCAAGTAGCCGTAACTACAGGCATGAGCTACCATGCCTGGCTAATTTTTGATTTTTTAAAAATTGTATAGACAAGGTCTCGCCAAATTGCCTGGGTTGGTTTGAACTGCTGGGCTCAGGCAATCCACTCTCCTCGGCCTCACAAAGTACTGGGATTACAGGCTGAGCCACCAAACCTGGCCTTTTTAAATGTTTTCATTGTTGTGGTTTTTCTCCCCACTTTGGGAGATATTTCTTTGGGGTTTTTTTATGGTTTTTCTACTGGAGATCTTTCATGTAATACAGTATCCAGTGGTCTAGAAACATGATGGGAAATGAACTTTTGAGGGTGAGGGGGCAGGTCTTAATATTACTGGAGTTTATAATGAGTAGATACTCCAAAAGTCATCTTAATATATATTATTCCTCTATTTAGCAGAGTGTGTATTTGGTATCATCTATTATTTTTTTCCTTATCAAACAAGTTATCAAGTTCTCTTAATTTTTTCATAGTGTCTATCTTCTCTCTTTCCAGCTTCTACAACTCCTGCTTTAGGTCTTGGTCACTTCCTGCAGGATAGTTTTAACAGTCTTTAAGATGAATTTCCTGTTCTTATTCCTTTCTGTTAGAATCATTTTTATTTACTATTTCCATCATTACAGGCCCTTAGAGAAAAATATCCAAGCAAGAGGCGGAAAGGTCCAAAAACTGAGCCTCTACGCATAGCCATGGGGTAGGAGGGTCTGTGAAGGAATTATATGAAAAGTGCGAAGAAAACCAAAATAGTGTAGTTTTATAGAAATCGAGAGTTCATTTTAAGAAGATAGAGCAGGAGGGAACTAAGGAGAAGCAAGAAGAGGAGTGCCAAAAGTACAAGCTAAATAGCAAGACTGATCTTTTGATTATTTTAAATAATTTGGTAAAGGAAACTAGTCTATGGGATGTTGAACTAAGGAAGTATATTATTAGAGGCTCTAGAAGCTTGGTGGCAAATGGAATGAGAAAAACGAAATTGGTTTTAAAGTGACAGCAGAGTCAAGATAAGGTATTAATTTGTCCCCCAGTATAGGGAAGATCTCCATATAATCACTATATTTGAAGTCTGTACAAAGAGAGATATTGAAAAAGTTGTTGAAATACAAGTTTAAGGTTATGAGAATATGGGGAGGAAACAATAATAGTAGGGGTAGTGTAGAGACTGAATAGGGGTGGAGACTGTCCATAGATGTTTTCATTATAGGATGAAAATCTAAGAAGATGGAGCTTCTGTTAGATAGTTTCTGACTTCTTAGCAAAGCAGTTGGTGAGGTTATGTGCCAAGATGGAGGATGGAAATTAGAGGGACTGGAGAAGATTTGAAATAATTAGAAACCATTAGGGAATGAAAAGAATTACCAAGTGGCAGAAGAGACCCAGTTGAAATGTCTTTTATGGAATAGTGGCAATTTATATTACAAAATAAATTTGAAAACCAATGTAGTTTATAAATACAGTTGGGTTTCCATAAATTTTATATTTTGCATGCATTTAAAAAAATTGGTGTTTATACATACTTTAGCCCCATCACAGTGTGTTTAAGAATTTTGTGAGACTGGGCGTGGTAGCTCATGCCTATCCAGCACTTTGGGAGGCAGAGGTGAGAGAACTGCATGAGCCAAAGGGTTTGAGACCAGCCTGGGCAACACATGGTGAGACTTTGTCTGTACAATAAATAAAAAAAGTAGCTGGGTGTGTTGGTATGTGCCTGTAGTTCCAGCTACTTGGAAGGCTGAGGCAGAAGGATTGCCTCATCTGAGCCCAGCAGGTAGAGGCTGCAGTGGCCGTGAGTGTGCCACTGCATTCCAGCCTGGGCGACAGAGTGAGACTTCAACTCAAAAAAAAAAAAGAATTTTTTGGGTGGTTTCACATTGTCTTATTAAGAACAAATCAAAATAATACCTTTTATCTTTTTTCTGAATAGCATTTAAAACTGTATTTTAGAGACTGGGCATGGTGGCTCACACATGTAATCCTAGCACTTTGGTAGGGTAAGGCAGGAGGTTTGCTGGAGATCAGGAGTTTGAGAGTAGCAACATAGGGAAACCCTGTTGCTACAAAAAGTCTTTAAAAATTAGCCGGATATGGTATGTATCTGTGTAGTCCTAGCTACTTGGGAGTCTGAGGTGGGAGGATTGCTTGAACCCAAGAGTTTGAGGCTGCAGTAAGCTATGTTAGCGCCACTGTACTCCAGCCTAGGTGACAGCAAGAACCTGTGTCTCAAAAACAAAAAGGAATCATATTTAAAAATATTGTGTAATTAATTATTGTGAATAAAATATTGTGTAATTAATTATATGTATATATATATATATATATATATATATTTTTTTTTTTTTTTTTTTTTTTTTTGGG